TTTGCGGCCGCACCTCCAGCGCCCCGGGCTCCCATCTGCAGCCCCTGAGGGAGAGCGAGGCCGCCGCCGCCGCCGCCTCCTGCCCTCCCCGGCCCTTCGGCCCCGCGGGACCGGAAGGCGCTGACCCGGCCTGGACGCTGGGCAGCCGGGTCGTTCCGTCGCCGCGGTAACCAGGCTGCAGCCAACCAGACGCGTCGCTCTGAGTCACATGACACAGCCCAATCGCACTCGCGCGTTGGGAAGGGCGAGGCGGACTTCCGAGGCGTCGGAGGGCGGGGCTGCGAGCTCGGCTATCCCGAGGTCACGCCGTCACCATGTTGTAGTTCTTCCTAGGCCAGCGGGACTGGGGACTGTCCCGGCCGAGGCGTGCGGGCGGGGGGCCGAAGGGCATTTTGTCCTCGGGACGGGGCCTCAGGGCCGCTTGGACTCCCCGGCTCTTGTTGCTGCAGGGACCTGAGAGGCCGCTACGGCCGAGGTCGCTCCGCGGACTACACATCCCAGCACGCACCGTCGCTCCCAGGATGCGTCGCTCCTTCCCAGGATGCGCCGCTTCTTCCGGCGCTTGGAGGCCGCTCTGGCCGCGCTGCCTGTGGCCGCCAGTGTTGAAAGCGGCGGGTAAGGAATTCGCGTGGAAGGCGAGTTGCGAGCGGTCACGTGCCCGCCATTGTCGTGGTGTGTGCCGGGGTCCTGGGGAATGAGGTGGCTCCGAAGGACGGGCCTGAGGGGCGGCTCCGCCGGGCTGGACCTTGTAGGGATTCCACAGGCACCCGATTTCCCTTTCATGGGCGCCGGAACAGGGACACACCCCCCTGGCAATATGGCGCCCTTCCAGCTTCTCTTCCGCCATAGGCGAGCCCGCCGGCGCCAAAAACCCACCAGTCACAGGTCCAGATTCACCTCTCCCCCAGCCCCGACCAATCAGCTGCCGCTCCGTCCACCCCCTATCCAAACCCGGAATGCAGCTCCCTATAAATATGCGTGGAGTCCTTAAATAAAGCGGAACTTCTCTGGCGAACTGTCAGCTCGGGTCCTGTCGTCCTTTCAGACCTTCCTGGGCCTGGGCGCGTGTCTCCAGGCGATTTTGAACCCGCCGCTCTGGACTCTAAGCGGGGGCAGGGGTGAGGCCGAAGCATCGCGCCGAGCACTGCCTGGCCCCCGGGTGGTCGGGCATCTGGTCCTGGGGGCTGGAAGTGACCTTCGGGACTTGGAGTTATACCTCATGGCCGCTTAGTGCAGCGGGGACATGAAGACAGTGAGGCCCTGCTCGGAGACTCACCCTTGCTGCAGGAACCCGTTCGTCCCCATTCCCAGGAAGATAGGCGGCCAGCCAGAGGCTTGTTCTCTGCCTGCTCCTCCAAGCCGGCTTCACTGAGGCTTGAGCCTTCACGTAGTGTCAGGCAGGGGAGAAGGGGCCCCGGCCCTCCTAGTGACGGCTGTCGGCTACCTACAAGGGCTTCTCAGATTTTACCACCTCAGGCCACTCTTGCCCAGCCTTGGAATATGAAAGGTGGTCTTATTGAAGCTGTTTTTCTGCAATCAGGTGTGAAAACTCGCTACTGCTGGAAAAGAAACTGAACCTGGTCTGGAAGCCCCCGCCTCTGCTTTTCTGCCTGCTCGGGAGTCCCAGGTTCCTGTGACGACAGCGGCTCCGTCTCTCTGAGGCTGGGCAGGGCCCGCGTGAAGAGCACTTCAAGGTTGTGGGACACTGTGCTACTCTGACCCCACCAGGCCCCACCCCCTGGTTTGGGACTCAGGGTATTATCTGTTGGCTGAGGTTCTAGAAAAGATAGTGACCACATAGCCCAGCACCTCTCTCTGGATGCTTCATGTCCACTTAGCACCCCCTAATGCTGACCTTCCCAGAAGGTGTTTCTGACTTCTTGGCAGGTTGGCAGCTGCATCATAGCTGAAAGGAATCAGGAAGGGCCTGGGCTCTTCTTTACCTAGGGATCCTGGAGCAGTAAGAGACAAATTTATTTCCTGTCCTGGGTGCTGGGTAACTGGTTCACCCCACGTATTGGTCCGTTTTCTGTTGCTTATGACAATAACTGAAACTGGGTAATTTATAAAGAAATGAAATTTATTTCTCACAGTTTTGGAAGCTAAGTCCAAGGTTCAGGGAACGCATCTGATGAGGGCATTCTTCTTGGTGGTAACTACAGCAATGCAGGGTGTCACATGGGTAGAATGACAAGAGCTCTTTAACATGCTCACTCGCTCTCTTACAAGGCCACTTCTGGGACAAACCATTAACCATTAAACCATTAACCATTGGGCTGGCCCGGTGGCGCACTGCTACAGTGCGCCGCTTGGGAAGTGCGGCGGCGCTCCCGCCGAGGGTTTGGATCCCACATACAGACCGGCCGCTCACTGGCTGAGCGAGGCGCGGGAGCAACACCGAGGGTTGCGATCCCGTGGCCGGTCCCGGTCCGGTACGGGCGCGACACTGAGGGTTGCGATCCGTTGCAGGACACGGAAAAAGACAAAAAGGTAAACCATTAACCATTAACCCATTAGTCTATTAGTCCATAAATGGATTGATCCATTTGTGAGGTCACAGCCATCACTATCTAATCACATTTTAAAAGCCCCATTTTTCAATGCCGCCATAGTCTGATTTCCCACCCTCTCCACACTCTTAGAATGGGGATTGAGCTGCAACAAGTTTGGGGGAGACAGACCTTAGCATCGCAGATGATATGTATGGGTGGTTAGAGCTAGAGCTGGTCCAAGATCCAGACTTATGGGGGGCCTTTGCTCTGCCACTTACTCAGGCTGACAAACAAAAGCAAGCACCATTCTGTGGCTACATCAATGTCCAGGGTGGGGCCCATGCCCTGTGACAGATCCCCAGGACCTGGAGGGGGCCAAGAGACAGCTGGTGCTGGCTAGGCAGCATCCCAGGCCTGCAGGCATGAGTGAGTGGCCAGCACTGCTAGTGCTTCAGCCAGAGATGGCATTAGGGCAACTCTTGTGTCTACCTGCTCCCACCCTTACCCCGTTTGCCCTGTGGTCCTACTCAATACCCTAGGGTACAGAGATGCTCCCTCAGCCAGTTAGGAAGGCTTTCCTCATTGTCTCCTGGGCCCACCCCCAGCCCTGGGGTATCAGGAGTGGTGGGAAGCAGCCTGGGGTGGTGGGCTATGAAAAGCGTTCTGAAGGCAGCTAGTTCACAACCCCACTGTCAACAACTGCAGGCTCTGGGAGTTTCAGAGCCTCAGGACCTTTACTGCAAGAAGGGAACACAACCCCAATATTGCAGTGTTGTTTGGGAGTTACAGAAAGATGAGGGTCCCTCAGGCAAAAACATTCCCCACAGTGACCCGACTTCCAGCCAATGGACTGTCCCTTAAACACACGTATAACCACTTCCTTCCCAAGCCCGTGGGTGTTACGGGGTCCTGTGGGACCTGTGCCAGTCATTGCTTTCTCATGGAGTTATGGAGATTAGAAACCAGTGTCCTGCCCCCAACTTGTCCAGAGTTAACGTGGGGGTGAGGAGGGGGGAAACAAGCTGCAAACCCAGCCTTAGGGAAAGCTGAGGTGTCCCAGATGAAGGGACAGGCAGCGGCAGCCAGTGGAGGAGAGGGACAGGTGGTGGGCCAAGAGTGCATCCTTGTTTGGCAGACCGCCACTTTCTGCTGGGGACTTGCCACAGCCTCTGCCTCCTTCCTTACCAGTAGGAACTTTGGTTTTAATGCTGTTCAGTTTCTGGCAGCTAAAGTCATGTGGGGAATCTAACTTCTTCCGACCTCCAAAGTCAAGTTTTAGAAAGGGGCAGTTGCCCCAGCTCTGGGCAGTGAGACACAAGAAGCAGTTGGGGGCTGCTGGGGAATTTTCCTTGGTCCTCAGAACTTATGAGCCGTGTTCCCTTCCAGTCTGTGGACGCCAGTGTGTAGGGATGTGGTCCTAGAGACTGCAGCCACACGGGGATGAGCCAGAGGACAAAGGTCAATATGCTGAGATTGCAGAGCAGAAATACAGAAACAACCCGGGGTCTCTAGTGAAGTGCTGATCCCCTGAATTGATCAGGCCTAGAGTCGCCACAACCTGGTGTTAGGTCCGTGGAACTGAAAACCTGACTTTTAGAAAGCCCCCACCCTTTGGTTTTATTCCTCCAAGTTTTTGTCTCCCTAAGTCTCTGTTCCCAGGAGCAGGCTGAGCAGGCTGCACCCAGAGTGTAACATCGTAGTTGTCTCCCTCCTTTAGTGCAAGGTTTCTGTTTCCGCAAGTCTCCGCTCCCATGAGCAAGCTGTGTCGGGACGGTCTTCTTAGGCTGGGTCAGATGCTAATCTTAACCCTATAGAAGAAGACACACAACTGCCTCTTGGTGCTGATGCCATTTTTCGGCTCAGCCCGGCAGGTCCGCTTGCTCCTTGCTTATAAAATCCTCTTTTCTTCCTTTACCTGGCTAGTGTCTCCTTCCTCAGTGACTTTACACCTGGGACTTCTTATAGATGTAATTTTAATGTTGGAGTAATTTTGAGTTGAATCTTTTGTTGTAGCAAGACAGACTTGCAAATATTCTGTATTATCTACATAACAAATTACCCCAAAACTTAGCGGCTTAAAACAACCAACATTATCTTACAGCTTCTGTGGGTGGTTCTGGCTCAGGATCTCTCAGGAGTCTGCAATCAAAATGTCAGGTCAGGGTTGAAGTCATCTGAAGGTGTGGCTGGGGCTGGAGGATCCACTTCCAAATTTCCACGCAACCTCATTTCTTCACCACGTCAACCTCCATGAGGCTTGTGTGTGTCATGGCATGGCCGCTGGTTTCTCCCAGAGCAGATGATCGAAGAGAAGGGGAAAGTGGAAGCCGCATTGCATCTCATGACCCATCCTGGTTCCTGCCACATCCCATTCATCAGGTGCAAGTCACTGAGTCCAGCTCACACTCAAAGGGAGGGGACTCAAGCTCCACCTTTTGAATGGATGGCTATAAAAATCCGTGGTCTTAAAACACTGCAGGCCCTAGGGGCGATGTGAAGGCTTGGCATGTGCGGGGAGCAGGAGCAATCTGGGAGCCTTCAAAGGGTGGTGCGTGTGCAGCCTTGTCTTCCAGGGAGGACCCTGGGCTCTGGTGTCCAGTGGCGAGGAACCATCCAGGGCACTAAGTGAGTAAAGGGCGGTGGCACGTTTGCATTTTGAAAAGCACTCACTGCAGAGGGCTCGTAAGCAAGTCCCTGCAGCTGGGGTCAGTGAGAGTGGGCCCAGAGGCCCAGATGTGGAGCCCGTGATGGAGGAGAGAGATTTGGGTTCTTAGAAGGTGCTTGGTGACTAGTCCCGCTGGCCAAACGGAGGGGCTGAGGGTGCTGGTGATGGTGGTGCTGATGGAGATAGAGCCCCGTGGGGTTGGAAGACACAAGCTCCCTTTAGACCTGTCTGTCTTTGGGAAGCTCATTGGACGGAAAATACCTTAATGTGTACTTGGGCATGTTCATGGTTACATTTGCAGGTCTAAAGTGCGGGGCAGTTTAGGCCCACAAAACAGTGTAGCCTCACCCCAACCCACCCCACGGCAACCCATGTTGGCTGCCTGCTGAAGAGTGTGCCCAGTGTTGTGGGCCTGCAGGCAACAAGGCACCTATCCCTCTGAGCAAGGCCTCACCTCTGGGGATCCCCTCAGGAGGGACCTGGGCAGGTGGGATGCAGGTACTGGCTTCACCATGAGACCCCTCACCTTAGCAAGGCCCTGGGCCCACTGGACCAGCTGCTGCCATGCATACCCCAGAGCCAACTCTGCCTCTCTGAGCACGAGAGGTGGTAGGGAGCCTGGTGCCCACCCTGGTGGGTCCAGGAGGTGTCTCTGGAGCTCCAGAGTCTGCAGCACTCTGAAGTTACTTGAGCAAAGATCACCTGGCCCTGCAGAGCAACAGTCCAGACTGCTCTGTGAGCTTCTTGTTTCCTCATGAACAAACCCTGTGGTAGTGCCCACAGGACAGTTTTGAGGATTAAGTGAAAAACTATATGCAAAGCATGTGGCCAGTCCTGGACTTCTGGGGGACAATCAGTGATGGTGACAAGCATAGGTTGCTCTTCTGTGCAGTTGTCTCAGGTGGGGACAGTAGGGGTGGGATCCTGGAAACTTGGGTTTCTCCCTTTCCCAGCCTAATGGTTTCCGCTGAAAGAATCTTCCCAGGCAGGGCTGGAACAGGGACTATCTCGGTCTTTCCTGCAACGCACAGTCAGTTCTCTAAGGGGAGTGAAGAGGATTTCACTGTGGCAGCCCCCGAGGGTTCGAAGCGTCAAACCTCATTCAAAACATGCTGAGACGCTGAGCTTGTGTGGTCTTCACATGTCCCAGGGGAGGTGCTCCTGTCCCATCTTACGAATGAAGAAGCTGAGCTTCAAGGGAGGCTGGCAGCTGAGGGCCACGCAGCTGCAGGTGGCCGCAGCAGCTGTGTAGAGCGCAGCAGCCATGCTGCGCAGCCAGGCACACCTCGGCTCACTTTGCCAACCGGCTACAGGGTCTGCTGTGATGGCATTTTACATTAAGCTTTGTTTTTCCCCCCATTATAAAAATAATAACATGCTCCTTATAGGATTTTTTTCCCTAACTGTTGGCCCCAAATGATCATGTGCTCTTAAGTTTTATTATGGATGTTATATGCATAATTTCCACAGTGGACTTCAGTGCTCTGAGGTGAGCGTGCTTCAGGTGTGGGCTGTTTTCTGTATCATGGGTGTTGTATTCACTTCATACTGGGGGATGTTTTTTCTCTCTGCTCATTCACTTTGAACAAGGAGCGGTTCGTCTGGGCCCGGGTGGGTGGGTGGGCGGTAGTGGTGTGTGGCACTCTACCCTGTGTCTAGTAGAAGCCCCTCTCAGGTCCCGGGCTGGACCCAGTGGCTCTGTGGACACCCTTACCAGGCTCCCCGTTTAGCTGGCGTGTCCCTGCCAAGCCCCACCCTGAGTTGTCACTTTATTGCCAGACCCTACATTTAGCTGTTGTTACCCTTCTTTTGGGCTTCTGCCCTCCCAATGTGTGACCAGATGATTATTGGAGTGGGGGGAACTGGAGGAAGAAGTCTTAGCAACTAAGATTCCTCTTAGTGAAAGAATAGTGTTTGTGAGGGAAAACACTGGTGGGGGCTTGGGGTAGGGCGACTCCTGAGCATGTAGCTACCTGCGGTGGCTCAGGTTGGCTGGGTGGGCAGGTCTGATGGGGAGAGGAGAGGAGGAGAAAATAGCTAAAGAAGTGAGGCTGGGGTCTTGGTGGGGTGAAGGGCCCATGGAAAGGTCTTCACAGTATGGAACAGAGGACACGTTGAGAGTGAGGATGTCCTGATGGATCTGAACTTTGCGTAGCTTTATCTGTCACTCCATGACCCCCAGGTCTTAAGAAAACTCTACTACTTTTCCTGTATACTTTCCCCTTTAAAGATCACTTTGCTGTCTCGTAGAGCATTCTTTATCTTGATATTTCAGCCCATGTGCTCTTCATTGTGACCATCCTACTGAGTATTCATTTTAAAAAATTTTTATTTTAATAATTTCCTTTTAAAAATCCTTCAAGAATTTTTAAATTCTTGGCTGGTTGTTTTTCATAACTGCCTGTTCTTGTTTCACAAGTGCCTATTCCTGTGTTATGGTTTATTTCCAATCTCCCCTTTACATCTGAGATTTTAATTGTATGTGTTCTGAAGTCCTCTTCTGATTGTCGTGCTAACTCTGTTTCCTCAGGTGTAAGTTTGGTGTGTTCAATGTGTTGTCTTTTGTACTGTTGGTGCCGTCCCAGGCGGGTGATTCTCAACTGTACCGTATCTTTGTACCTGAAGTCCCCTAATGTTCTGTCCAAAGCATTTGGCCTTAAGAGAAAAGCACCAGCAGTAGGTCACACTCAGACTGGGGGATGGGGTAGAAGCACTCTCAGGGACAAGTCTGGACTGCACAGCACATGGCCTGAGGGACTCAGAAGACCTTATCTGAACCCTAAAGACAGGAGAGTCTCCAGGAAACGTGGGGACTACATCCACATCCACTGTAATGTCCCCTCACACTGTTGCCTCAGACTAGCTCTCCAGCCTGTCTCTGTGGAAGCCTGTCTCTTTCAGCAGGGTCCCTTCCCCTTTTTGAACATTGCCCTTTGGCTCCAGTGATACCTCTCTCCTCCTATCTGCCTGGCTAGTCCCTACCCGGTCCTGAAAATGCAGGTATTTCCCAACATTCTGGCCTTAGCTCTTTGGTGGCTAGTAGTGCTCTTTGCTAAATACCCCCACTTCCATGCATGTGGGGGGGTTGCAGCCCCTGTGGTTGGAGGACAGTGAATGGAAGTGGTGACGGCCCTCCAGAGCTCCCACTACCAGCATGAGTCCTTCCACAGCAGTCATTTATCCCTGGCAAGGTGCCTGGAAACATTGGAGATGTCTCCTCCTTCATGAGCATGGTCCCCGAGTAGCCACATGGAAGGGAAGCCCCTCACCCCCGCCGCCGGAGGTGGACGTGCAGCGTGAGTGAGGAACAGAGCTTCGTTGCTTTGGATGACGGTGTCACAGAGTGGTTTGTGGCTGGAGTGTAACAGCCTATCGAGTGCAGAAGTTGGCCCAAGAGCAAGGACAGGGGCAGCAGTAATGGAATATGTGACATTGGATGCTGGCTGGGGGCCGGGCTGGGGCTGTCAAAGCCTGCTGGAATGTGGGATGTTGGCACACTGTGTATACAGTGGCAAGACACGTGGTAAGGTTCAGCTGTGCTGACGCACGAGGCAGGGGGTGTGCAAAACTGCTGGTGGGTCTAGCAGGGGAGGCTGGGAGATATCGTCAGCACTGCGCTGGTCCTGGGCTGCACTGGACAGGGTGCTGCAGAAGAGATGGGCTGGAAAAATACTCCACGTTTGCAAGCTGGGGGGAGAAGGAGTCAACTAGAGGGAGGCAGGCAGGCGCCAGGGGCTTGCAGGGTTGACAGGTGAGCACTGCTGCCCACCCCAGTGTGCTGAACGCAGAGCTGGGCAGGCCTGCAGCGAGGACCACAGCACGGATATGTCCCCCTGCCCCCCATCATCACTGCTGAGTGTCGCTTCCAGCTTCCCCCAGTCTGCAGTCAGGCAGAGCTGGGACTGGGTGGCAGGGATAGGCGCACAGCCGAGTGGAGCCAGAGGAGGCGCTGTGGGTGCCAGGACCTCGGGAGACCATGAAGTTGCTGAGCGAGCTGAAGTGCCAAAGAAACAAAATCCGGAGTTGCAGTTTGTGATGACTCCTGAGACTTGAAAACAGCCTCAGCAGGGCAGAGGCTGGGGAAGCATTTCGGCATCTAAGGAGGGCTGCTTCTCGCATGTGCCATGTTCAGGGTATCCAGGGAACGCGACTGAGCGGAATCGGGTGCCCACTCCCAAACAGGGTCCCCGGCCGTGCCTGCCTGGGAGGGCTGCGGCTCACCCTGGAGCAGTGGCTGCCCTGCGCCCCTTGCTCCCCTTCTGCAAACTTCATGCAGTCTACCCACCCTGTCCCGAGTAGGGTGTGGGGTGGCGGACTGTCTCTGCACGGGGTGGAGCCTGCAAGCGAGCCCTCACTTGTAGGGAAAACCCCAAGCCCTGGACTGGAGCTCAGTGCCACCACTGGAGGGCACTCGGGCTGACTCCCCGGGGGAGGCGGGGGTGGTGCATCCTGAACAGGAAGGAGGGTGAATGCAACATGAGGCGGCTGGTGTCAGGGTCATTTGCCACCACCTCCAGCTCTCCCCACTTCCTAGTCACTGTGTGTGCAGGGGGCTGTGGCCAATGGATTGGGAGGATACATATGTCTCTTCTGGGTCACAGCATGTTGCCCAGGCAGGGTACTCTGCAGAGTGCTGTGTGGCACTGAGACTGTGGTGCTGCCCCAGCCTAAGGCCTTGACGACCAGGAAGAGCGGTGCCATCCACCACCCTGTGAGAATGGACACTGCGCTTTGTCACGGGAACATCTATCCCATCCACCCCCACCTGCCACCCAAGACCAAACTCCTCCCTGCCACCCGTGCCTCTTCAGACTCCAGTTTAGGATGGGATTTGGCCAAAGTCACAGAGGAGAAGGTCCAGTGTGAAGGTGTGACAAGTGGCCTCTGCGAGGGGTCCAGAGGAGGCCGTGCTCAGGCCCAGGAGCTGAGGAGGGTAAGGGGAGCCCGCTGCTGAGGTGGGGCAGCGGGCGCCTGCTATCAGGGGCCTGCCTATGTGAGGGGTTGGGACCAGCTCGGGAACAGCTCCTGATCATCTCTTGGCCCCGAGCCCCCAGCAGGCCAGTCCCATCCCAGGCAGCCAGGCGGATGCAGAGGACAAGAGGACAAGGAGGTCAGGTTTGCAGAGTGGAGGTTTAATGGGACAATCACCATGATACCCCATTGTAGCAGCCCTAGGCTGGAGACCCCAGGCCCTCCCTTAGGTGGGCCTAAAGGAGCACGGGCCCCACCTTCCTTTCCTTTCCTGGGGCACTGCTGTGCACCTGCACTTCCCACCCCCCAGGCAGCCACAAGAGACAGGCCATCCTGTCCCCACACTCTTCCTGGATCCTGGGACCCCATGTCCTGAGGGGCTAAGGCTTTCTGTGGGCCTGGGGGGCCCTCCCCAGATTTGCCCATCCTCTTTGTGTTCCCTGCTCCACAACAAAGGAATATCTGTGTCCTTTTCCCTCTGCCAGGGGCTGAGGCTGCCAACCCCGGGGGTGGGGTGCAGGGCTCTGTGGGAGGGGACGGCTCAGAACCCTGCAAGGAGGCATGCACCAAGGACACTGCAGCCTGGGCCTCCTGGCAGACATAAGGCACGGTGTGGTGGTGGCCGTGGGACTGCTGGGACTGTTGCCCCCAGGGGCAGCATCCAGCAGGTGCTGGCATCCAGGGCGAGGCACAGCCGTCAGTGTTGAGACAGGAGGCGTGGTGTGTACGGGCTGGCCCCAGGGCCTGCAGTGCAAGAGAGCTGAGGGGGCCCAGGCCCACGGGCCTCTGCTGGACACGAGGAGGTCCCTCTCCCCATGCCCCTGCCTGAGAGAGCCCGTGGAAAGGGCTCATGGGCCCGGGTGGAGCTCGTGGCCACAGCCAAGGTGCAGTCATGGCAGGCCCGGACCACAGAAGGCACAATCGTGGTGTCTGGGAGGTCGAGGGTCAGCCCACCAACAGGGCTAGGCGGACACGTTGACGTCCCTGAGTGAAATGGTACTGCTGGGGGCCTCATCCCCAAGCAGCAGAGCCGGTGAGTCAGAGTCTGTGTCTGCATCTGCTCCATCACCAGCTCGCTCTGTGCTGGGCTCTGCGCTGGGGCCCAGGCCCTGGGACAGGATCTGCTGGATGGTCCTGCGCAGGTTGGGGTGCAGCCGGCCCTGCGTCTGGTAGAAGACCTCCAGCGCAAAGGACTTGAGGGCACCGGTGCAGAGGTCCTCATACAGCGGGATGGTATACATGCGCGACATCTGGGAGGCGGGGGCACTTGGTCACCAGGGCAGGCTCCCAGGGCCAACCTGCCCAGCCAGCCCAGCTGGGCAGCCCTCCTATCCTGGGTCTGCCCGGACTCACCTGGCTGCAAGCCCCACCATGAGCTTCCCACCCCTGCCCTGCCAGCACAGGACATGTATGGAGGCCCCGTCTCCGGGGAGCTAAGGCAGGATGAGCCACGGACAGCTACAGGGAAGCCAGAGCCCATAGGCCCGGGACCCCAGCCTCTGTCTGAGGAGCTCAGATGCCCCCTGGGCCTAGACCTGGAAGAAGAATGTCTGCAGGCCCAGGGCCTGACAGGCTCATGGCTGACGTGGGTGGAGACCCCCAGACTCCTGCTCCAGCTCGTCCCCTCCACGTCCTCTCCAAGGGCCCAAGGGCTAACCCTATGCCCTTCTGACCTGGATCATGCCCCTTCTTGACCTTGACCCTGTGCCCTTCTGACCTGGATTGTGCCCCTGCTTCCCAACCCAGACCTCAAGTCTTTTCCACCCCATTTTCCAGAATGTGCCTGGCCTGCCCTGAGTGGTCAGACTGGAGAGACTAGGATGCTGTCGGTAGAGATGGGGATGTCCCTGGCCTCCAAGGCAAGGCCACCCCTCAGGCCAGGATCCCAGGCTGGTGGCCGCACCTGGCTCTCCAGGAAGCGCCGGACCCTGTGGAGGTCAGGATAGTAGTCGTTGCGGACCACGATCTGCAGCCAGCGGATGCGGATCTCGGCGTTCATGGAGTCCAGCAGGGAGGAGTAGCACTTGGACAGGCTCATCACCACCTCTGCGGGGTGGTGGGCAGGTCAGGGCCATGCTGGCGCTCATCCCCTCCCCTGGACCACCCCCATCAGCTGCAGGACGCACCCTGGGGCAGCGGGGACCCATCCAGGAGCCGGTCCAGGAAGAGCGCCGTCTGGAAGGTCCTCCACTTGGAGATGTCGATGACACTGGCCGAGGCGGCTGCCTGGTCCAGGGGCTCCGCAGTCCACAGTTGGAAAAGGGCCTCCACAGGCCGGGTCAGGCTGGATCCCTGAGACAGGTCCGGCTCGGCCAGTGGTGGGCCCGTGGCATTGAGCCAGCGCTCAAACTCCAGCCCTGTGAGGAGGAGCAATCCTGGGTCCCCACTGGGCTGGGAAGGGGACACCCAAGAAGCCTGCCTAGGACCCCCCAGGAGCATGGGCAGATCAGGGAGGCCAGGGTCAGCTCCAGCTAGCGCCTGCCATGTAAAGCCACCGGAGGCGCTTCTGTGAAGGGGCATGGGGAGGCCAGAAGTGCTCGGTTTGGTGACTGAAGGATCCCCCACCATGCCTGTCCTGGGCAATCAAGCGCTTTAAACCCAACCTCAGCGCTCACGAGATGATGCTCTTGCTTTAAAGTGGTAGCGCCAGGCAGCTGTGGGAGAAGGCTCTGGCCATCCTGTTCCCAAAACCCTTGGTCCACTTACTGTGCCTTTGGAAACTTAGGGTCATCATGCCCAGCACTGCCAGCCACACCTCACTGCCCTCCAGCAAATTCAAGCCATTCTCTAGACGTCAGACTCTTCCAGTCCCTTCCTTGAACCCTAAACCCTCAGACCCTCAGGGATGCGCTCATGTGAGTCACACAACCAGAGCTAAGTGGACTCAGCCAGCTGCAGGACACTTCCTCCGCCCCTGCCCCAGGTACCCTTCCTGCAACTGCCTAACTCAGTCTGCTTAGCCTAAGTGCCACCTCCTCCGGGAAGGCCCCTGGGCCCCGTCAGGCTGGGAAGCACACCTTCCAGTCTGCTCTCCTGGTGTCCCAGCCAGGACGCTGAGCCGCTGGGGCTTTCCTCCAGGCAGAGCCGGCACCTCGGGCAGCAGAGGCTGCTCGCCACCCCCACCCCTCCATTTCCTGGGCCCGTAGCGGGGCGGGGACAGCCTCACCTGCCCGGCAGTCCACACTCTGCTCCTTTAGCTCGGGGAAGAAGCTCAGGAAGGAGTCCAGTAGGTCCTGGGCTACCACGCTGGTGAACTTGTACTTCTCCACGTAGGCCTGTGTGGCAGGGCAAGGCCTCAGCAGGCCAGAGGGCTGTGTGCCGCGGCCGCCACAGGAGCCGGGGCCTGCACAGCATTTGGGGGTGTGCACCGTGGGGCATGCCTGGCACAGGGCCGGCACGAAGGCAGGGGGCAGGTGGGCACAGAGGAGGCAGCCACCCCGTCCCACAGGCCCTGCTGAGTGGCCAAAACTGGAGGCAGGAGAGGGAAGAGGTGGCGCACCAGCAGGACAGGTCCCAGGTGCCCACTGACCCCACCACCTGGAGAGAAGGGCAGTGAGCTGGGGAGGGGCTTGAGGTAGGAGGTGACAGAAACCATGTTGGGGAGGGGACTGCTCACTCGGAGAAAGTCATCAAAGCGCTGGGGGTCTCCGCAGAGCTGGGACAGGTAGTACACAAAACAGTAGCCCTTCTCATAGGTGAACAGGTTCATTAGGTGGCTGGGATTCACTCCTGCAAGGGGAACGCCATGTGTGGGCTGGGATGGACCCGCCTATGGCTCATGGGATGGGGAAGGGGCGGTGGTCAGGTGCCAAGGAGCAGGAGGGGCCGAGGGGCACTGTCCCTCCCATGTCCAGAGGCGTGCTGACACCCTGGAGTGCAGTGACAAGCCTGACCTGCCTGGGGGCCTCGAGGGAGACTGAGGGCCCACATGCCACATGACCTGTACCAGAGCCCCTGGGGGCAGCAGCATGGGGAGGCCTGCCTTTGGCTAGGAGCACCAGTGGGCATGGTGGGGATCCAGCCACAGTGGGGGACAGAGCAGCTCCATCCAGAGCAAGGGAAGGGCAGGCAAGGAGGCCCTGAGGTGACATCCACAGGGGTCCCAGGGAGTGAGGGTACCTGGCTCCAGCTTGACCTGCAGCTTACTGACTGGACTGTCCTCTCCAAGAAGTTTCATCTGCCTGTGCAGGGCATCCAGGCGGAAGGCTGTCTCCAGACAGGTGAAGGCAGCACCTGGACGGGGTCAGGGAGGCAGGGGACAGGTGGGTGGAGGCTGAGCACGTGCAGCAGGTGCCACGGTGCCACCCTGGCTGCTCCCTGCACTGCAGAACTGGCCCGAGGGGAAGGCCAGGCAGGCACAGAGGGCAACCACAGCCCGGAGGCCGCTGGCCATGGCAGTACCGTAGGTCTCCGTGGTGATGCGGCGCTGGGCGTAGGTGGCCAGGCCCTCGCTCAGCCACATCTCCTCCCACGTGGCATTGGTGACGGCGTTGCCGAACCAGCTGTGGGCCACCTCATGGATGACGTCGATGACCAGGAACTCGTCGCTCTCCAGGATGGAGCAGATGATGAAAGTGAGGCAGGGGTTCTCCATGGCCACGATGGGGAAGGACGGGGGCAGGAAGACGATGTCGTACCTGTGCGCCGGCGGACGGGCGGTGAGAGGCCGGCCGAGGGGCTCGGCTCCTGTCCCAGCACGCCCACACCTCACCCTCCACCTGGGGGAGCAGCCCAGCCCCTGCAGGGAGCTTCCCTTCCCCCCCCAGCGGATGCGGGGACAGGGGGCTCCCCCTCTAGGTCCCGTTTGCTCCTCTGGACAGCCGGGACTTGCCCTCTGATTCCCTCTTCCAGCCAGCTGGGCTCCCGAGGGACACCCAGCACTCCAGGACATACCTGCCCCACAGGTATGGCCCGTACAGCTGCTCAGCCGCGCTCAGCCACTGCTCCACCACGCCCGACAGCTTGCTGGTGGCCGTGGGCAGGAGGCATGGCTCAGCCCACACGCGGCTCCTGGCACAGGTTGGACAGGGTGAGCGGAGGCCGGCCGGCCCCACCAGGCCCTCCTCTGCCTTGGGAGCTCCAATAACGCCCACACCTCACCCCACCTGGCCGGCTGCCCAGCCCACAGCACGCCACCCCGCCTCGCTGGCCCTTCCCCGGCAGGGGCGGGTTGCTTCTGAGCAACCCGCCCCTTGGCCCATTTTGTCTCTGGGTTGAAGGAACCCACGAGGGCGAGAGGGTGTGCCAGGCTACGGTGTGGTCGTGGCAGTGAGGACAGGGACTGGGTCAGGGCGCTGGGCAGGGCCATCTGAGGGCAAGTGGGGTGAGGACGGCCTGGCAGGGTGGCCCTGGGTCTACCTGGGCCCGATGTCTGCCGGCTTGAGATCTCCGGCCACAAGGGCCACGAGGTAGGCGGGCACAGGGTGCTCCATGTGGAAGCGGTAGACGCCCTCCTCCTCCACGTACGCACTCTGGGTGGCGCTCATCAGCACCTGCACCCCTGATGGGGCCTGCGAGGAGGCTGGACTGAGGACCAGGCGCCCCCCATCAGGCACCCGCATCCAGGGCCGGGAACTGCAGCTTTGATGCGGCACCCCATGCCCTTGTCAGTAAGCCCTGTATCCGTGTAGGAAGCCCCACATCCACATCTGATAGGGAACCCCACACCCCCCATCAGGGAGCCTCACGACCTGGGTCAGGGAACCGTATCGCTGCAGGAGAACCTCTCATCGCAGCAAAGAGCCTCCATGCTCCGCTGCATCCCCACGCTCCCAGCCTGCAAATCTTCTGCAGTCGGAGGGGGAGGGGCTGCAAAGCTTGAGCCCAGCAACCCTCGGTCCCCACCAGAGATCCAGCAACTCCGTCTGGAGCCCCCTTGTCAGGGGCCCCTATATCTCCACTGGGGCCTCATCCTGGGTAAAGCACCCCGACCCAGTCAGGCCATCTGTGGCAGCCCCGGTCCCATGGGGAGGGTGGGCTCCTTCCAGGACAGTCGGGCAGCAGTGAGGAGAGGAGTGGGCATGCGCAGCTCTGCCTGCCCAGGCTGGTGGGCTCAGTCTCCAGGTAGCACCCGGAGCAGGTGGAGGGTGCGCCAGGTTGGCCCAGGGACAGGGAGGGAGGCCAGTGGACCCTGACCTTGACAACGGCTGAGTAGGTGCACTTCACGGCGGGTGTGTCAAAGCACGGGAAGAAGGAGCGGTTGCACACGGAGTGGCCCTGGGTGAAGACGAAGGGCTTGGCATTGCCGTAGGTCAGCTCTGGGTCCAGCCACCAGATCTGCGGGCAGGAGCTGGGTCAGCAGACAGTCACCAGCTCACGGCTCTAGGCCTGGAGCCTCGAGGGTGGCAGCAGGGCAGCGAGGCTCTGCGGCCCAACACCGATGGTCTCACTGGGCTCATTCAGGGTGAGCAGCCACGCCTGTGGCCTTCACTTGCCCACCTGGTGCCCTCAGTCCCTCCCCCAGGCAGGGACATCGAGGGCAGCTGACCCAGAGCGTGGCCTGTGCTACATCACCACAGCCAGCCCCTGCTCCAGGCAGGACCCAGGCATTGGGGAACCAGCCCAGGGAATCTCCCAGCCCATGCCAGGACAAAAAAAGGAAAAAGCTCAGCATGGTATTATCCAGGCTTCCAAATGGAAACTGAGGCACAGTCAGAACACCTCAAATCCCAATTCCCACAGGCTGGCAGCCAATCTGATCTTGGCTGGGAAAAGGAGCCAGGGACGTGGAAATGGGAAAACCAGAGCTTCATGACGCTCACCCACGCTGGCAGGGAGCAAGCAAGCCTGAGCCCAGGGCCAACCCTGGACAGGCAGCCTCACCAGGAGGACCACATGAGGGACAGGCTCTAGGCCAGGAGACGGTGGGAAGCGAATGGAGGCCAGGCACGAAGCTCCAAGAGGACCGCTGTGGCCATGGGGAGGACGACTGTGGCCATGGGGAGGGCCGCTGGCGGTGGTGTCCAGGGGCTGCGGTGGAGCACTGAGGAATGTGCGTGCTCCCTGAGGGCCGGTGCCCGCCCACCTGCCGCCTTCAGGGCCCAGGTCCCCACTTGGCCAACTTCTCACACGTACCGATGCTGGCAGGTGAGTTGAGACTTTTCTTGCTCCCGGATGCTGAGACCCCTGTCCCTCTGTGTCCTCCTGCCTCCCCGGTCTCATCTCTCACCAAGCGTCTGGTCTCTCCAACAGGGTCAGCTCAGACTATGGGAGGGGGACTCTTTCCCAACTGCAGCCACGTCACTATGGTCCTGAACCTGCCCTGCAGCTAACCCTCACCCTCCCTATTCCTTGTCCACTTCAGTGACCAGTACACATGGGTCCTCCCAGGACCACAAATGGAAAACACGCCCCTGACACTCCTCCAAAGGTGGATAAGCCCGGAATCCACAGCTGACAGCCACTGTGGGGACTGCGGATCCCAGACCCAGTAGCGCTGCCTTCCTGCAGACCCTAGACTCAAGAGGGGTTACCTCACCTGCAGACCCAGCCAGGCCCCTGCCAGCACTTGTGGACCTCTTCAAAACTTTCCCTTGGCTGCCCTGTCCCTGTCCCCTCACTGCAGCACACCCACAGGGCTGTCTTCCTTTCCTGCTGAGCCCAGGGGCTGCCCCAGAACTCTGGGCTCCACAGGTCAGGACCCAGGAATCTGTATCAAGGAGACTTCCTGCAGTGGATCTTGCTGCAGGTCGTCCTCGGCCCACACCAGGAGGACAGGCCCCCTTGGTCCCCCAACTGCCCTTTGCCCCCACCGTCCCCTCCTGCACCTGCTCCACTGCTGCACCTCCTCTCCCCCGCCCACACGTCCTCCCCTCAGCTTTGGTGGGATGGCTGTCTCCCCAGAGACCAGTGGAGCAAGGGGCTGGGGCAGACCTCCCCCGACAGGCTGGGCCCTGCCCCATTCCCTTTCTGCCAGCCCATCTTAGGCACCCGGGACACAGTGGCTGATGGACTGGCGGAGAAGGAACGGGCCTAGGGACTCCACACTGCAGGGCAGAAAAAAAGCTGCTCGGGGTGGGGTGGGGTGCAGGAATGGAGCACAGGGGGCATGGGACCTGATTCTTCAGCACCCACAAACTGCCTCTGGAGGTCTGGGTCTGCTGGCAGGGCCTCCGAGGGAGCCCAGAGATCTCCTGCCACATCTCCATCTGGAGCAGGGACAGGCGGATTTGGGCCAAGTCCCTGGGGCGGCCAGGAAAAGAAGGGGTCTCCACGTGAAGGCTCTGAGCCCACAGTACTCACATGTCCTGGGGGGCACCCACAGTTAGAGGCCAAATGCTCTGCCTTCTGCAAGGGGCCAGCTTGCAGCCTGGGCCAGGCTCTTTGTCCCAGCCAACCTTGGAACCAGTCAGTCTGTGGGGGCCACAGTGCCTCTCCCTGACCGGAGCACCCAAAGGCCACTGAACAAGCTTGGGAAGCCCAGGGACAATGGCCACCTTGCTCCCCAGGTTCTGTGGCTTGTGAGGGCCCTGGTCCCACCACTCTGCTGGCCATGGTCTTGTGTGCAGCAGACACACAGGCTCCAGGTTCACAGGTCAAGGCCAGGAAGGAACACGTTCCTAGTTCTCACCCATCATGGCGGGACACACCTGCCACCTGTCAGAGCCCCAGAGTACCACAGCAGGCATTAAGAGCTAAGCCCGGCAGGCCAGCGGCCAGCACACCCACAGGGTTCCAGGAAGAGGGTGAGGTGGCAGGCCGTGCTCAGGGCTCCTGGGAAATGTGCAGGAAGCCCACAGGTGTGCATCTGGTCTGTGCTCTTCCTGTCCAGATGTCACGCAGGGGCACCCCACCTGGCGCCTCTACACTACTACCCTGTCAATTTGTGTGCCACAGGCAGTGACAGATGGAACCTCCCAGGGCCTCCAGAGCCGTGTGCGTGTTGTGTATGTATGTTGGCTGTCGCGTGTGTGTTGTCCATGCTACCCGGAGACTGGCGTGAGCATCATGTTGTGGGACTGAAAAGCCTGCTCCATCCTGCAAGCCCCACCAGCAGCAGAGGTGGTGGCGTGTGTGTCGGGGGCTCAAGCCATGGTGCCTGACCCGGGCCACTGGCCTTTCTGGCAGGGCATCTAGGATGGTGCGTACCCCGTGTTCAAAGCCCTTCCTGTGTGTCTGTGTTTTGGGGTGTGGAGCCCATCTGCCTCAGCTCCCCACCAGTCCTGGCCAAGGGAGTCCAAAGCAGCACAGGAGGGAGCCTGCACGGCCCTCTCTGCCGCCACTGGATCTGCCTGTCCCTCATTCCACCTCCAGAGAACAGGCCCTCTGGCATCTGACAACCCGGCCCACTCCTCTATGCCAGGCTCTAGCACTCGTATGGCTCGGCAGGTGCCCGTCAGAAGCTGCTCTTGTCCCCAGGCAGGGACAGGACACCTGAGTGGGAGGTGACGCGCTGTCCCCGTGCCCTCTGCCTACCGGGCCAGGACCCGGGGCTGTACCCAGGGCTCCCAAGGGCTCGCGAGCAGCAGCTAGGAGTCGGGAGGGCGCCTGGACTACCGTCAGGGGCCGGGCTGTCCCCGCCCACCCGGACTCACGGCGGGGGCGTCGGTGGAGGTGTAGCGCAGGATGACCTGGAAGGGCTGGTGCGCCTGCAGCTCGGGCGGCAGCGTGACGGTGAGCGAAGAGCCGTAGTCGGTGAACGGATCCACCCTGAAGGCCAGCGGGCAGCAGGCGCGCTCGGCGCCGGGCGCCTCG